CACTAAGCACACATAAATTTGAAAGAAAAATTTTCAAACCGTGCATCGCACGGGTGAGATTACTAGTTAACTAAATGGTGCATAATGGTAATGTACACTTCTTCACATATGAGACTATTTTGTAAAATCAAAATGAGGAAACATAGTAGTGGACTCGGGCCGGGTGGCCCGACCCGGAACCGGCCCGGGACCGGCACTGTTCCAGCCCGGCCCGACCCGGTGGCCCGGCCAGTGACCGGTCCGGGTAGGCCCGACCCGAGGGGTTTCCTGTCTGGGCTCGGGTCCCCCAAAACATGAACCGGCCTGGCCGGTCCGGGCCTGTTTCCGGGCTTATTGTTTTTTATTTTTCTTTTCCAATTTTTTTTTAAATCCCGGGGTTGGGCTGGGTATTTTAGGCCATTTGGGGTGGTTTGGGGGGTTGGGGGGTCGGGGGTAATTAGAAAAAAGAGAGAAAGAAAATGTTAGAGGCCCGAGGCCCCGCCCAGCCCGGACCCGGTGGCTACCCGGGCCGGTCCCGGGCCCAACATTTCCTAACCGGCGGCCCGTTCGGGCCTAGGCCTGGCCCGGGCCCGAATCGGCCCAAGGCCACCACTAAGGAAACATGGAATTATATACTATGTATAATGTATAATAATATATAATATAATTATGCAAAATAAGTAATGATATACTACGTATTCAAATATGAATGTTCGAATCTAATACTATCGGTATTTGAAATTAATCAATTAAAGTTTTTCATATTTGGAACTTGGAAGGTTTACTTCGTTTTTCATATCTCGATGAGTTTGTATATTAGCATACACTTCGAACTATTAAAACTTGATATCTTGTGTTCAATTTGTTGATATCTTCTATCCATTACATCCAGCTTCATTCAAGCCGAAACAGATTGTACTAAAACCATTGAACTTGATAAGAAGGTAATTTGGTGCTTATGCTCATTTATTATACCGCATGCGCAGTTCAGCAGTTGCGCACATTTAATTCAGGGTTTTATTATGAATTGGGTTCTATTTAGTCTAGGATATATGCATTTACTACATTCAAGCTAGTGGTGCCCAATGGTAATGTACACTTTCTCACATAGGATACCATCTTGTAAAATCAAAATGAGGAAATGTGTAATTCATAAAGGGTAAAATTGTCATTAAAAGAAAGGTGTACCATTTATGAGGTTGCTTTGTACGGTTTTTTCACTTGCCAAAATAGCCGTAATGAATACTAGTACTCCTATTCCATTTTGGTAGGGTAAAATTGTCATTAAAAGAAAGGTGTACCATTTATGGGGTTGCTTTGTACGGTTTTTTCACTTGCCAAAATAGCCGTAATGAATAATAATAGTACTCCTATTCCATTTTGGTTGTGTATTTTTCTTTTTTAGTTTTTCCAAAATGAATGACTTATTTCTCTCTTTTTTTGAAAAAAATAAGTGGCCTTTGTTAGGCATGTAAGAAAACCGGCCTGCAATGACTCGCCCTGGCTCGAGACATTTGGGGCAGGTCCGATCCGTCCCATCTTACAAATGAGGCGGGTCCGACCCGTCCCGCCTTGCAAATGGGGCGGGTCCGGATATTAGTATTGACCCATGCTGCCCGGCCCCGCTCAATATATAAGTGTATATTTTTTTAAAATTATACTACAAATATGATTCTACATACATATGTGTGTATATAATACAAGTAAATCATAAAATCATTGGTCATATACATAGATGAACGACAAATTATCAATGTCTTTTTTATATATAGCGTTTTAAGTTATATACTCAATTAATAATATAAATAGATAAACTATTCAAGTCTAAGAACTTTTATCTTAATTATTGAAATTTTTAGTGTATTGTGACTTTGATTTAATATAATATTATTTTAATAATTGTTTAAAGGTAAACTTTATGTAGATTCAAGTGGTAACAATTCACACAAATAGAAATACATACTAGCTAATTAGGTTACGGCGGGTCATGGATCATCAAATTTGGACCCATGCGGGTCACGGGGCGGGGCAGATCTATCGAGTGAAGTCATGGGGCGGGTCTTGCCCTGTCCCGACCCATTGTCATGCCTAGCCCTTATCATTTCATGTAATCATGTTATTATACTCATATCCGGTGTCGGACCTAGGCATCAGGGCCTGTCCAATGCATGCACACTAAACATAGTAAAAAAATTAATTAGATTTTAAATACACTATTTAAAAAGTAAATACCTACATTAACCAAATTTTGAATAGAGAAGAAACAAAAAAAAAACTACTTATATTATTAGTTCATTATTAAAATGATCGAATACAATTAATACATCAGACTTTTATATAATAAAAATTGTTACTACGTAAGTTTTATAAAGCTACTCCATATAGTATAACATTAAACAACACTTTATGTACAAAGTACCATGTTCTACTAAATGCTAAACAATAAAATGTAAGAAATTAATTATAACTAAAAAAAATTGTATAATTTTATGAAATGACAAAGTTTTTTTGAACGAAAGTAGTATAAGAAACTCAAGAACAAAAATCCAAAAAAGTATTCCGTATATGCTATATTTCATAAAGAGAAAAATACAAGTAAGATTTTTAAATTAATGCTTATAACACACGAATATTTGGATGTTATTTCCATTATTCATCCGAGATAAAAAAAAAGTACGTATATAACACACAATATCAATATCTAATGCATAATACGTATATACGCCCCAACAACTAGCGTCTAGCAAATACAAGTAGTATGTTTGCAAAAGTCAATATTTAATGCATATGTGTCGACATCTTAATCATAGTTAAGATAGAAAATACAACATTTGATACCTGCGGCTCAAGAAACATACAAAAAATAAATCAAAATAAATCATACGTAGTAATTTAATGGACAAATAAAATGCACTCAGGGGCAGTCCTGTATGTTCAAAGGCCTAGGGGCGAAAAATTAAAATGGGCCTAAACTTTCAAAAAAATTGTAATTCTCTTCCATCTAAATTGATATGCATACTAATAATAATAATAATAATAATAATAATAATAATAATAATAATAATAATAATAATATTTCACGACATTTAAAAAAATTTGTAAAACCCTATTGTGTCTAAACCAATCATATTATAATAATGGTGATCCTTATTTCTCCTCTCCAATGATGTAATCATTCTGAATCATTTTATTTTTAGTAGCTAAATTTTTGTTCTTCTATGAGTTCTCATCTTGAAGGGGGCATTCATAATTTAATGTCTTTACACAAGTAAACTTTCCATTGAATTTTTTACTTGGCGCCGCTTTCTATAATTTTCTCCTCGTTTTTATTTATCCTATTCAGATTCAGTCCTTTTTATTACACCTTGAAATTAATTAAATTAATAAATTTATCATGATTGGAAATGTTTGTCTAACAAAATCAACAAGTTATAACACCAACACTCAATAGAAAGCAATCAATAATTAAGAAATCAAACAATCAACTATGAATGAAATCAGTTAATAAACTAATCAAATAATCATATCAGACTAATTTGCTTCCTAGTGGATTTTTTTTTGAAATTTTAAGAGAATGTTTTTCATCAAGTGTTAATTATGCTCATGAAATTTTAACTTAAAATTCAACCGTGAAGTGAGTTAAATAAATTACTGAAAAATAATGCACTAAAATATGTATACGTACAAACCCCGTGCTTTTGAATAATTTATTTAACTGACTTCTAAATTGAACTTTGAACCATTTTTTTACATAATCTACACTTCATAGAGAACATGATCATAAGTTTTCACACAAAAAAATGCATTCCGAAGAACTTCAACAAATTCCACCCGAAAAGTTGTTAGTATAGGGCTGGAAAACCAGCCTACTGGCCCTACTCACACCTATTACAAAGAACTAAACTTAGGCCTATTTTTTACTCAATTTTTTTGGGCCTAGGGCGATCGCCCCCTTGCACCCCCTAGGGCCGCCCCTGAATGCACTCAGCGTGTAAACAAGCGTATAAGCGGACGTGTACATGCATTTTTGAATTCTTAAACGATTGCATAAGATTGCATATGCTGCTTCCTTATCAGCGACTCAGCGTATCTCTCCTCCGTATCTGCGCATCCTCCAGGAAAAGTAGCAAACTTCAATGCTTATCCCTTACCTTGGATGTTATTTCCATTATTACCCTTGATAATTGTTACAACAAACAGTACTCAATTAATTTTAGCCACAATAGATATACACCAGCTACATTGAACCTCAGTCAAGCCTTTTAATAACCTGACTTTGAATGATTATTATTAGATGAGTTATCATTATTAGCTATAAAAATTTCTTTCATTTGCAATGGGGTCAAAAACTCACTATTTTTTGCAATGTGATGAAATGAAGCAAAATGACTCACTAAATTGTCCGCGCGCTTCTTTGTTATGAAGTAGTAGTCAGTCCATATAATTTTCGACGCGATTTTCACTATGGGTCATCCGGAAACAGTCTCTCCGTGCTTTAGTACAGGGGTAAGGTTGCGTACATCCGACCCCCTACCCCGTGAGAGCCTTTGCGCACTGGGGTAATGATGATGGTGATCAATATTATCTTTAAATGAAGTACTTTGCTTCAATGTTATGTTTAGGGTCAAATTTCAACTACTGTCCATGAGAAGGAATACTTAATTATCATTAACTAGGTCTTTTAATAGTTTTTTTTATGAGGGTAAAATTTATGAAACTCTTAGCATCAACATACATAAGAGGATATTGGGTTTGATGTTTTTGGAGTAGATGATTAGAGTTTTTTTATTCCTATATGTTTGTTTCGATAATACTATCAAGTTTTAGCTTCCCTTCCTGTTTTTACTCTACAATGAAACTTCTGAATCTTTTTCTGCCTCTAAGAACTTATGACAATTCCATATTTCCATTCTTTCCTTTCAATTCTCAAACATTTGAAAGATGTTTAGGCTACCACCAACTGTGATAAACAAATCTAGTTGTAATTATACTACCAACTCACATCATAAGATACATCAAGTCAGCAATGGAAACCAACCAATATTAATTGCTAGCCAAATCAGCATTCAACATTTCATTCATTGTAAAATCCAAAAGGCACCAACAATTTCCATTCATTCATCAATTGCTTATTTACTTGTATGACTGCTATACATCATGCATGCTACATATATCTTCTGTATGAATGAAAAAGGGGATGAAATGTCATTGTTAATATAAATCTTCTCTTCTCCTCTGCTCACTAATCATTCATTTGATCAATTGCGGCTTTCTCATCCAGAACTGCTCAAATCTTTGCCTTGCATATTCCATATAATCAAAGCCAATATTGTTTACATAGGCCTGAGAATCCACACACAATAAAAAGAATGATAAGGCTTTCTTGTAATTAATCGATGGAACATAACTACATAAGAGCGTGACAAACATTGGTATAGTGAAGAATTTACCGAGATGAGTCCCCATAATCCCCAGAATAAGTGGTTTGCCAGTGTGTATTTCTCTACAATATCTGCAAGCTTCTCTACTTCCTCTTCAATAGGTTGGTTTCCTGCACATAGTAAAAATAATTAGCAACAATACCATCAGTCATACTAGACCAGCCTTAGCTTGCTGTGCAGAAGATAAAACCTAAAATTTTGCAAACTAAATAACTGACCTGCAGAACTCAGATAGGACCGTATGAATCTATGGCGTTCTTCTCGGCCTGTTTGCAAAATTTGAACTCACATTAGCTGTAATGGACTGTAATTTGGTCTCAAGGTAAAACTCTTAAAAGTCATGAAACCATATTTCTTTATTTATTGGTTTCTTCGTTCTTTAACTAAACGCATCATAGTTTAAAACGGTTGTTACTATTTTAGGTAGACTATTTGTACATTAAATGAAAATTAGCTTCGTTTGATGAAAATATGACTCTTTTTTCTGACGAGGAGAGTAATAATTAAGTAATGGAATTTCAAGTCATTCATAGAGCAGTTAATTACTTACAAGGGTACATAGTGTAGTCCAAGACATGAGGAGTGTCTGTGTGATAATTTGCTGCCATTTCGCAGAAGTGGTTGGCGAAGTCATAAGCAATCGGGTTATAACTGGCATACTCATAATCCTGTTATAACAGATGATTTGAAAGATGCCTTATTAGTTAAAGGACAGAGTTTAATGATGGTTAAGAAAAAGATCACATTATATTATAAACTTACGATTAATGTAATGCAACTAGCATTGTCCTTGATCATAATGTTCCCGTATTGTAAGTCATTGTGACAGAAACCGACCTCTTCGAATTCGCCAGTTATCTCTTTTTCCAGAAAATTGATTTCGTCTTCTAAAGTGTCCAAACGGAAGTCTTTTGCGTCCTCCATGGAACACAAACTCTTTGCCTTGTCTAGCCAATTCCTGTGTGTGGGGAACAGATACATCAAAATAAGTATTAGTAGAAATTACTTCAATTAAGAAGATCTTTATGAAGAAAAATTTACTCAGATATATGTTCATACCTAAGTCTGTCCCAAAGAACAACTTTCTTTGAACCTGGCATATCAAGAGTATGAAACTCCCTCAATTTTGCTGCAATTAGAGAAGACACTTTTGGGTCCCGGAGATCTTCCGCGGATAGAGTCTGGAAATGCATAACAATAAGCTAGATATTAGGTTAATTTGTAGATTTAAAACTTTTAAGGAATTGTTAAGCTGAAATGCATTATAGCAAAATGAGTCTCGAGCCTTGACTAGTTAAAGCACTACTATTCAATTTTAGCATAGTACAAATGTACAACTCCTACTACTCGTAGATCAGTGTTTAGAACATGTACTTTTCAATTTTTCTTTTTACAAATTTATCATTTTTAACATGTTAATTTTATTTTATCTTTTTGAGTTATTTTCTTGAAAATTACAAGAGACTAAAATCATACAATCCAAGATAATGAAAGTCACTACCACTTAGATGCTACCTCTGTCGTACATGAATTTATATCATTATTGCCTTTAATGTGAATTTATATCATTATGGCTTACAATTATATAATTAAAAGTTTGTACTAACTTAGTATTAAAAATCACTAAAAGAATAACTCCGTATTCAAGATCATTTTCATTTAGAAATTTAATGCCCGACCTTCATTGTTTAAATTATTGTAACAGATAACGACTCCACTATTCACCTATCATACACGCATATTGCCATATTTTTATATTACTCCTTCCGTCCTGTTGTATCTTCTGTCAATTTTGCTTTCATATTTGTCCAAACAAGTTGTCACTTTTCTATAAAGTGTTTTTCTTATTTCTTTTTTGTTATAATAAATCTTAATTACATAATTTTTACTCACTACTTGAAGTTAACTCAAAGTTGGCAATATCCAATGTAATACGAGGTAATAAATAAAAAATCATGTTACATAAAATGTTTTCTAATTTATTGACGTGTTCTATAAAATGAAAAAAAAAGTACTACGTATTTATGAAATAAATTAATAATGAAAGTTTTATATTGACAAATGTAGAAGGTAAGACAGATTTAATTAAAATAGAACCAAGTAAAACTTTAGAATAACTATCGAGTCAAAGTTATGATCCACAAGTCAAAGTAAAGAAACATGATTGAACATAAGAAGAAAGAAGTGTTTGATTTCAGGCAGACATACCCTGGCTTGAATGAACTCTTCAATCCGGCCTTTGGGGAACTGTCCCAGAAGCTTAGGTCCATAGCCCTTGTTCGACAGGCACTCAAAAGTCCGGATTTCATCATCCCTGTCAAAGAAAAGGTCAACCCCTTCACCATAAACCCGAACAAGAACTTTCCTGGTCAAACTATCCCTCATCTTTGCAGGCCAACTAATCTGATAAACCTGATTAGTCATTGCACCGGTCAAATGTTTGACCTTTATGGTGGTACCTAGATGTTCATCATCTTCTAGCCCATCTCCCCATTTTGCAGCTAAAGAAACCAACAACTTCTGCAGTCCCTCTGGTAGATTCCCTTCAATACACCCTTTCTTTTTCACAGCCATCAAACCCCACACCAATTTCTTTGACCTTATTTGACCAATTCAACAAACAGGGCTTATCAATTCCATGCTTTCATTCATTCCATAACACGTGATTTGTGTTATTCCATTCCATATGTAGGAAATTAAATTCAAGAAAGTCAAAGATAACGCCTTTTAATTGCATATAAATTTTCAGAAAATCAAGAAACGCAAAATGGCATAACCCATTGACTATAAGCTTCAGAAATTGAAGAAATGAAGAGAGAAATGCGTAATAACCCATTTCAATTTTCAATCAAATGAAGAACTTACAATGAAAATTTGTGGACGTTTCAAGGGAAGGGAAGAACTGGATCGCCAGGAAAATCTCAAGCTTTGAAAAAAATGAGAACTTTGAGAAAGTCAGCCCCCGGAAAGTATAATGAAGATCGAGGATATGATTGGGAGTAGGAGGAGGTGTGTCTGTATATATAGATAGCTATTCTATTGCATGTAAATGCATTTCTGTATTGATGACTTTCTTTGTATTTTTAGGCATAGCGAGACAACGACACCCGCCGACCTTTGACCCAGATAATCTATTTTCTTCTTTATTTTCTACTACGTATTGGGGTTGAAAAATTAATTTTAATTCATTGAAATTTGAAACTCACCTCGAAAATTTGCCCCAATCGTTCGAACAGACCGGCTAATCCATTAGCTGAATTGGCTTAAATTTTTAAATGTTAATGTTAGTTAAGGAGTACTTCCTCCCTTCTTTTTTAGTTGCAAAGGTCAACATTTCACATTTGCCAACGCACATCTTTGACCGTAATTATATCTTAATCCCTATTAGTAAAAAAATATTTAAAAATTAGATTTTGAAAATTTTTAATGAGATGAATTGAACAATATAATTTTAAAAAAATAATTTTCATAAAATAATAATATAAAATGTAGTCAAAGTAGAACATATGAATAGTGTAAAATTCAACATGTTGCGATTAAAAAGAGACGGAGGATAGTACTTTTTATATATGGTATATTATTTCCGTCCCACTAACATTGAGATTTAAGACATGAGGAAGTGACGCAGTTATTAAAAAAATGAGTTTATGTGATTGATATTTAATTGACGAAAATGAGAATAAAGTAAAAATGATTTGGAACGATATAAACTTTATCAAATTTGATAAGAAACAATCTAGGAAACATGAGACAATCTTAACGTGATGAAGTAATATTTTATTTCTTTTATTAATAAAATAATCCATATATTTTGAATATACTATTTCTATAAATCAGTGGTTTGAGTCAATTTGAGCGAGACCAGAGAGTATTAATTTGTTCTCTTAATTTGTTCTGTTTTTCCTCCTATCACTCTTGAAGTCTCTTATTTTTTCTTTATTCTATTAAAAAAATTAATAAGAATGTTTCACTCAAAATAGAAACTAACCTATGATATAAACAACGGAAATTGTCCTAAATAGGACTAAAAAGTTCCTAAAAAACACAAATAGGACTACTATTTTTAAAATTCCCTAAATAGGACTAAACATTGATTTTCTACCCTAAATACCCCTAAAAGTATTAATTCATAATGAAATGCTTTAATTCATAATAAAATCACAAAAAACGTAAAAAAATATTTAAAAAACGTAAAAAAATTAAAAAAAATTATAAAACATTTATAAAATAAAAAATTTAATTTTTTATTTTTTTAATTTTTTTAAAAAAATAATAAAAAATAGTAAAAACCCATAAAAAATGAAAAAAATTATGGATACCTTTCTCACCGCCTCCCGCCGCCTCCCAGCACCACCACCTCCGATTGGTGAAATTTCTTCCACTTTTGGTAAAAAAATGCCATATTTTTCTGAAAATGCCAAAAAGATGGCATAATTACTCTTCAATATGCCAACATTTTCATTGATTATGCCATCATTATGGCATTATTTAAAATGTTGGCATATTTTTGTCCGGTGATGGGAGATGGTGGTGTTGGGGGGTGGCAGGGGTGGTAATGTGTTCTTTTTAATTTTATGATTTTTTTATTTATTTTTTATTTTTAAAAAAAAAATATTTTTTTTGATTTTTTAAAAAATATTTTTATTAATTTTCTATTATTTTTTTTACGATTTTTAGTATTTTTTTCAATTTTTATTAATTTTTTTATGATTTTATTATTAATAAAAACATTTCACAAGTTACAAGGGTATATTTGTCCAAACACACATAAATAGTCCTATTAAGGGAATTTAAAAAATGTAGTCCTATTTGTGCAATTTTTCCACTTTTTAGTCCTATTTAGGGAATTCACTCTATAAACAAATACCTATGTATTATGTATGCATAAAATTAAAGTAAGGGCATTCAGTATTTCAGTCACAATTATAATACATTCAGCTAATTTAATTAAGTATTGTCAACTGAACCCAAAGTATACGTTCGTCGTTGTAATTGTGTGTTTTTTAAATATTTCGGGCATAAAACGTATATATAAAACATGACTAAAGTTACTTTAACTATAGCTAGTGTCGTAGTTATTACTTGAGTATATAAAAGTTAAATAGTACGTACAAATTACTATGATTAAATTTTTTATCCACGACCATTACGTATGTGGGATCATATTTTGTATGATAACTTTTACTTTAATCATTAACTTGTAATTATGTCACTCTCCACTAGTTTGGATAGTTGAGTTCATTTACAATACCCCAATACAAAAATGTGTGATTCTATTGATATGACATAGTTTGTTTGTATATTGTGTTCTTCAATTTGTCATAGATTTAGTCTCCATGCATCAGATGAGATCAAATCCATTTATTATTTGAAGACAGGTAATTAAGATGTGAAATAACATCAATCCCCACTTCAAATCTAAAAAACAAATTTAAAAAACTTCATATATTATTCGACGTGATTTTTTATCAAGCTGGTTCGGGATCAGTTTGATCAAATATACTCCCTCCGTCCCGTAATTAAGTTCCTACTTTCCTTTTAGGGATGATCCATATTAAAGTTCTTACTTCAAACCTTTCCTTATTTGGTAAATGATTTACATCAAAACAGTGTCAAACAATGTTCAAACAGTGCATTCCACAATAAAGTCAAATTTATTTTTTAATATGTGTGAAGTCAAACTAGAATTTTAATTAAGAATTGGAGTACTCCGTATGAAGTAGCAACTTTGTTGAGCATTTGTTCATACCATGAAGTCATGAACCGTGAAAGGTGACATTTGACAATCAATATATATATATAAAAGAGGAACTTTTTAAGAGCATACGGCGCGCCACGTAATCATGCCATGTCATCATATATAATTATTATTTAATTACTTTCTATATCTTTTATTTTCTTTTCACTATTACGTTTTGTATACCATCTAATTTGGTAACTCTTATTTACATAAATCTGATTTAGTAAACTTTTAGTAAACTTTTGTATATATTGATTTTTTAGTATTACGTTTCTATATTCTAATTTGGTAACTCTTACGGAGTATGTATTTACATAAAATCTGATTTTATTATAGTAAAATTTTAGTAAACTTTTTGAATATATTGATTTTTTAGTATTACGTTTCTATATTCTAATTTGGTAACTTACGGAGTATTTACATAAAATCTGATTTTATTATAGTAAACTTTTAGTAAACTTTTTGTATATATTGATTTTTTAGTATTACGTTTCTATATTCTATAAACTTTTAGTATATTTTATGTTTCTAAATTTAGAATTAGAAACATAAAAACTACCTATAGTGCATATGTAGGCTATTATAAATATACAAAGACAATGTAAATAAAAGTGTATTTTCACTATTGGCTTTCTCCTTAGTTTGAAGAATTCTATTGCTTAGTGTTCTTATATCAAGAATGTCATCACAGTAAGTTTCTACAACATTTTTAATGATATATTATTCAATACTACGTACAGATGATACTTTACCATTCACATGTTTATGATACATGATATTAATATGCATTATACCTGATTAATTAATATTCATCTTTTTTTCATTTTTGAAAGTTTTTTTTAAAATAGACAAGTTGAAGTTTTGTTTTCAAAAAGAGACCTATGCGTTTACGCCTAGACATTGACTCCGTAGTCCGTTCCTACTTAATCCGTAATATTCAGGTATCTTAATTACAAACTGCACCAAGAGCTCTTATCAACGGATCCATTTGGCACCTGGATGTCGACTCATCACATCCACTCCCTTACCTAATACGAAGTATTAGTGTTACGCACTTTCATTTTTTAGACAAATTAAAAACTAACAATTAAAAGCAATAATAATAATAATAATAATAATAATAATAATAATAATAATAATAATAATAATAATAATAATATTAAGTGAGTAACCCTTCAAGCTTCTTTTTTTACTCGGTATATTGGCTTAGAACTTTAGACAACTTTTTTTTGAAAGGATTAGTTTAGAGAACTTATGATAAATGTCCAATTGAGAAAAGTGTTGAAATTTTAAAAACTATACTTTGAAACATTTTCAATGTGACTGAAGAATGAGTAAAATCATTTGAATTTGTAACTATTAGAATTAATTAAAAAAATTATTATACATACCATTCAAACAGAACTTAATCGGTTTCAGCATAATCAGTCAATTCGATCAATTTTATTGATATCAAACGGGCTCTATATTAAATTGAAGGGTTCCTTACTATTTTCTATTAAGTACAGTCTGTATTAAGACATATGTGTAGGTTAAGATATATATCGGGATAAAATGATATTTGTATATGAGGTTTTAAATTTGTATGCTAAATAAACAGTCTGAACCAAGTCAAATAATCAATTTAGTATTTTTCTTAGATGATAGTGTCAATGAAAAACTTCATTTACTAATATAAATTAATTCCATAACCAATTTTTTTTTAAAAAAACACATTTTAAAATAGCTAAAATACGTACTGCCCGTGCATCGCACGGGCTTGAAAACTAGTGAATATATAATTGGGAAAATTCTCGATTTATATTTCATTAAATTTGGAATAAGATAAAATAGAATTTCACGCATAAAAACTATCAAACCTAATTATTGAATAGATATCTGCTTGTCATAGTGCGACTGATATCGGGGTTCAAACTTAATTTATTACTACTACCTCCGTCCCTAAATGTTCTTCCAAAATAAAGTGACACACTGATTAAGAAAGTGGAAATTGTGTAATGGATAGTTGTGCAGAGGAAAGAGAAATGTCGTGAACCACAAATTCTTTGCCAAAAAGGGAAAGTGAAGTTCTTTTTTGGACGGGCGAAAAGGGAAAGTTGGAAGTTCTTTTAGGGACGGAGGAGTAGTATGTTTCTAGTTCAACCGGTTTCAATCCCGGAATAGAGATTATAATAGGTTAGACACCATACTTGAATATATCTACCACATCAGTTCAGATAAGATTGGACTAAATTTAAAGAAAACAAATCAGACTACACCAGTCCTAAGTACTCCCTCCGTTCCGGAAACAAGTTCCCG